TTTACTGCTATTGTTAGTATGTTGTTGGCCTGTCTCTAATATGCCACAGTTTCGACAATTTAGACTCGGTATCACGCGACATCAATCTCTTCTGCGATAACACGACGACACCATTTCAAAACAGCAACAAATTCAATGAATTCTTGACTAGTTTTCAACAATGATTCCGACGACGTCACAACCTCAATAACATCCCAACTCAGCAGCAGCTACTATTGTTTATGTCGGTAACGATTCGCATTTGTCTTAATAATCTCATGTTTCCTATTATGCTCAATGTCTTGCTAAGGGTTAATATGTTAGATAAGAATTCAATGACTATGCTTTTATTGTGTTGGGTTCAGACTTGGGATGTTATTCTTGTTTCTTTTTCTTAAGATGATTACTGATGATTGTTGCCTCACTATATTTAAAAACTCAAGAACCCTTGTTTTTCATAGATTAATTATATGTTGTTGAGTCGGTTTTTAGTATAGTTTAGGCATTATGCTAGCTGTATTTCGTTTGTCTTTGTGCTGAATTTGCAAGTCAGTTGTTTATGTTTATGCTAAATTTCAGCATCGAAACGTTGCGCCACTACTGTGATTTATAGTCTGAAAGTGTGAGTTTCGTATTTGTGTCATAATGCTGGAAATGCGAATTAGTTTGGTTTCGATTATCGATTGTTCGTTTGTGTTTAATTATAATCTTGCGAATCCATGAGCTTTGCCAAAATTGGTATGCTGCCGATAGTTGTGCATCTTCCTTGCTTTTCTAAGCGTTTTGTTTTTTTCTTCGAACTGATTTCGGCCGTCCAAATCGTAAGTTCTCGGATAGAGTATATTCTGTTTTACTCTTGCTTTGGTAAACAAGTGATTGCGTGTTTCTAATGTGCTCGTATCTAACTTGTTGCAAATGTTTGGTTGTAAAGGTTCTAGGATAAAAAGCTATGGTTCTTTTACTTTAAAAACGTGAAAGTTCTTATTCACTGATGCCATGGTTAAATGATACAAATGATAATTGGTTTCATTGGGTTTACCGGCTACTAGTGGCTTTAGTGTCATTCCTTATGGTTGTTATTATTTTCGTGAAACAGGCTGGTAAAGATTTCTTTTGGACTAACCAATTAGTTTTTGACTGATGTGGGTATAAAAAAATAAAGATTATTATTATTATTTTAAGTGGTAATTAATCTTATATCCATTAGACTTGCCAAGACAATTTAAAATATTTCTTTAAAGAGCAGCGTTTTCAAAATTCAACTAATTATTTCCCAACATATTTAATCTAGATTTTTCCTAATTAATTTATCGAAAGTAGTGGGCTATTGGGGTCTAGCATCCTTTGGGTCCTTGAACAACCGCTCTCGAGGCGCACGCCCTTTAGTTGTGGTTGTTTCATTTTTCGATTTTCAAAACCGTTTTTCACTCAATTCAATTAAAATTTCTAAAAGATATTATTAGTCAATTTTTATTTGATTATATATTTTTATAAGAAATTTCCAATTATTATTTTTTTTAAATAAATATATTTTAAAACTATTAACAAATAACATTTTAAATATTGAAAAGCTATACTTTATTAATTGAGTTAAAACTTTTCTAAAATATTAAACTTTTCTCAAATCAAAACTTTTTTGCAATTGATTAATTTATTTATATATGAAAGTTAAAACTATTTTTCTTAATTAAATTAAACTATTCTTCTTAATCAAATTATACAATCTCCTTAATCAAATTTCAAAACAATTAAATTCTTGGATCTCGCCTTCCTTGAATTTTTAAGCAACCGCTCTCGAGGTGCACACCTTGAGTTGTGACCCTTCCGATCTTATTCTCAAGAATGCCTAGCGCGCCTAGTCCGAGTATGCTAATATTTTCAAATTATTTTTTCCAAATTAAATTACGAAAGAATCGAGTTCTTGGAGTCGCGCATTCCTCGAATTTGAGAGTAACTACTATTGAGGTGTACGCCTTGAATGGTGTGTCGTTCGAACTTTCATTTCTAAAATATTTCCATAATTATTTGGACAGGTATTCACTGTCCAACAAACACTATTTCATAATTAATGGGATGAAAAAGATTGTCGTTGGGATCTAGCATTCCAACGATATCCCGACTAATTGATTGCGAGGCCGACGTCTCGTTTATCGAGCATTCTTCATTCCTCCCAAATTTCCAACCCGTCTAATCTCGTTCCTCACCTTCGTGTGATCAAGTCTAAACCCTAGTATGTCTCTAAACCATACATAAAATTCAAACTATTTTCTTAACTAAACTGCGAAAGAATTGAGTTCTTAGAGTCTCGCACTCCTTGAATTCTTGAGTGACCACTCTTGGGGCGTACGCTTTAGGTTGTGGATCACTCGACCTTTTCGTATACAAAATACATGCCCTAGTTACTTTGACAAATACCACCATTGTCCATTCAAATACACTTTCATAATTAATTGAATGAAAAAGGTATCATTGGGGTCTAGCATTCCAATGATATCCCGATTAATCGATTGCGAGACTGACGTCTCGTTTATCGAGTAGTCGTCATTCTCCCTTAAAATATTCAATCCAATTCTCTTTTCTCTCGCCCTCGTGCGATTGAAACTTCCTTAAAACACTAATTTCGAAGTTAGTCGAATGAAAAAGGTGTCGTTGGAATCTAGCATTCCAATAACATCCCGATTAATTGATTGCGAGGCTGACGTCTCGTTTATCGAATAGTCATCATTCTCCATCAAATTGCCTAACTAAACTCCTCTTTCTCGCCCCCCTGCGATCTAAACCTATTCAGATCCATTCTTTTTCCCAAACCAAAACATCCAATACGATAAACACATATTCCTCGCCCTCGTGCGATTTCCAACCAAAACACCTTTTGTCAAGAACATTGTTTATTCCTTTCTTCCGCGCATAACAAACTCGTGCTTCAGCCTCCCCTAGCGAGCAGACAAGCCAACGTTTAGCAGTTAGAATGCGACCTAAGCACTCGTTCACATACCAAACCTTTTACCGTAGTTAGCCGAACTACGGCTGCTCTGATCTCTCATATCTGTTGAGAGTACGTAGGCATAGGATTGCGATGATCCTAGCGAGCACTTTTCCACTTTTTCTCCCGCCTTTAGGTTCTCATACCTTTTACCAAAGAACATTGTTTATTCCCTTCTTCCGCGCATAACAAACTAGTGCTTCAGCCTCCCTTAGCGAGCAGACAAGCCAATGTTTAGCAGTTAGAATGCGACCTAAACTCTCGTTCAACTCATACACTTTTTGCCAAGAACATTGTTTAGTTCATTCTTTTGCGCATAATAAACTCGAGCTTCAGCCTCCCCTAGTGAGCAGACAAGCCAATGTTTAGCAGTTAGAATGCAACATAAACTCTCGTTCGACTCGAATACATCTTTTACCGAGAACATTGTTTAGTCCTTTCTTCCGCGCATAACAAACTCGAGCTTCAGCCTCCCCTAGCGAGCAGACAAGCCAATGTTTAGCAGTTAGAATGCGACCAAAGCTCTCGTTCATTCCAAACCCAAACCTTTTACCGTAGTTAGCCAAACTACGGCTGCTCTGATTTCTCATTTATCAATGAGAATACGTAGGCACAAGATTGCGATGATCTTGGCGAGCACAATTCCACATTCCCCTCTATTTTCCCGTAGTCCCACGAACTACGAATGCTCTGATTTTCCACTTCTTACAAGTGAAGATACATAGGTACAAGGGCCCCAATCCTTGGCGAGCACCCTATCTAAAAACCACCATTCCCCCTATAGGAGAAACCTTAGAAGAAAACAAACAAGCGTAGATAACTTTACTCTCGAATCGATCAAGAGGTTCCCGTTGAGTACAACGGATATGAGGGGTGCTAATACCTTCCCCTCATGTAATCGACTCTCGAACCTAGAACATTGGTTGGATGACCATGTTCTTATCTCTTTAAAGGTTTTATCGATATTTTCCTATTTCCTGCATTGGAATGAATAAAGTTCGGTGGCGACTCTGTTTCGAACAGTATTTTCCGCGTCCATCGCGAGGATCGTATTTTTCGAGGTACGACAGTTCTACCATTCTATTGCTCACTTTTTTTATACCACGAGACACAACCAATAGTTTCTCATTCTTTTTTTTCTTTTTTCTTTTTTTGTCTTCTTTCCACATTCCTTTTCCACTTGCCTCTTTCCTATTTATCCATTTAAATTTTCACCCTCAACCCTCTTTTCTTAAAAGTTGCATGGATCTTTCAATATGTTACTTTTTTTACTAACCATATAAACATTACCATCATTATTCTCTATAACTCTAAATGATTCTTCATCAAGTGAATTAAATATTGACACCCGATTTTTCACCCTAACATTGAATGCAACATTCTTTGCTGGAGCATCGTTGGTGGAACCTCGCCTTATTTTTCTAGTCTTCTGCACCACTGCCCATAGCCCAAGTTTATTTGTTGATTCATTGTGGTTATGTCTCACTTCTCCTTCAGTAGCTATCTTTTCCACTCCTTTTTGCTTCCTTACCACTTCCTCCTTCTTTCTACAGACCTCCACATAATGTCCAAACCGTCTATAACTTAGACACAAGAGGTGGGTACCTTCATATTACACCTTGTAGTGTCTACGTTTGATGGAGAACATTGCAATAAGAGGTTTGGTTAAGTCAACTTATGTAAAAAGTCTTGATACTTACCTCTCTCCCTAGTAAGAGTATTTTTGTCCACTTTAACCATTTTTCCAATGTGATCACCTATGAAACCAAGGACCCTGGTATCATAATATTCGATTGGGAGTCCCGATATTCTGACCCATACTGCAAACTGCTCAATTGCATCTCCAGCTGGGTAAAAATTAACACTTCACTCCCTAATTGATAAATAATGATCATAAACTAACCACAGTCCCTCCAACAAAGCAAAGTCATAATCTTCCTCATTGGTAAATGTGATAAGATAGAACTCTTGTCCAAGATCAACTATATTCAACACCCCTCTCCTTGCTCACATTTGTTTGAGCCTATTTTCTAGAGCCTTATAGCCAATCCTTCTCCCTAACATTTTGACTATGACTCCATTTTCCAAGGTTTGACAATTCTCTTTTCTTATATGTCAGATAGTATAATTTCAAGACATTGATACTTCCATATTTCTTCTCTTCGATGCGTAAATCTTCTTCTAGCCTTTCGATTTCCCAAATTTCCTCATCTTCTTTGGATTGATCCTTGTCCTCTTTCTTATAATCGACATTTTCCCTTATCACCACATATTTATATGAGATTACCTTTTCGTTTTCCTCAACTTCTTTGTGTGAACTATCGTTATCCCATATGTGGCTATCAGTTATTGGATTGCTTGCCTCCTCCCTATCTTTAACCTTCTTGGTGCTTCTATCTTTCAAGTCTTCCTCTTTATGTGTGGTCTTTTGGTTTGCATTAACAAACCCTAGCAAAGGATTCTTCATAAAACCCTAGCAGAGCTATTTTACTAGCTTTAAAAGCTAATTTAAGAATTTTAAACATGCGGTGGATTAGTTCCAATCTTAACAGAGCCAATTTTTAAAAACTAAGTTAATTCAATTACAAAAGTCAAGTTTTCTTGACTTGAACCACGACCTTCTATTTTCAAAAAGGAAGTTGTTCTTCGCACTCTTAGTGGTGAAGATTCACTCTTTTAAAACTTAACAATGTCCTTGAGACAACCTGGAAGTTAAATTACAGATGCTCCTAATACACTAAAATACTTCATAACATGAAGTATTTTGAACTAACCCGATAACGTGTTTTTTCATAATTCAATGAATAATTCGGAGGTTAAGTTTTAAACTAACCCTTAAGGTAGTAACTTGTCATCATGGGCAGTAAATTTTGTATAAATTTGACATATTTTAATAAGCTTATATTTTTAGTCACTTATAGAAGGTATACATAATTGTTAAAGTAGTGAGAGGTGCTTGTGGAGGCCTCTTGGAAAAATATCATGAACGACAACTAGTTCAACAGGATGGACTTCTAAGTAGTAGTACGTGTCTCTAGAAAGACTACGCCAGTGACATGTGAACTTGGAAAGACGATGCTTCTGCATTAAATGAAGAGGCTCGGATGATTGGACGGGAGGATTTTGATTTTTCCCTCTGAACGGAGGCATGTTGAGTCACTCTACCATGTCTCAATATTTATTGGTTGTCAGACATTTTACCTTTAATAAACCAAAAAAATGATGTCATAATAAAAAAAATACTCAAATCCAAGAGAATAGACAAAATCAAACAAAATATGCATATCAAAAAAATTCTAAAGTTAACATTCGTACTAGATGAAATTAAAAGAATGCAAAATTGGTTACATTTTAAGTGTATCTAAAAAATAAATTCCAGATTTCAGAGGCACCATTGATTTTTCACCGCGAGGGGTAAGCTCCACTAAAGGCATTTAAAACAATACTCTTGCAAAAATATTAACTAACTAATTTAGTTACATATTAAATCTGAAATATATTTCGAGAAAAAAAATATAAAATATTTTTTCTTATATTAATACAAATATATAATTGAGACCTCTAAATATTTTTTGAAGTCGTGGGTTGTGGGCCTGCTTTTAAAGTCAGAGGACTAATAAAAATGTTTTATTAATAATGGGGAATGTAGACGTAGGTTTAGAAATAGATAAAATTTTACCTTTTTTCTTACAAAATATATTTAAAAAAAATCAAAAGTATTTAAATTTAGAGTTTTTCTTTCTTTTTACTTTTTTACAAAATTTTGAGATTACTTAAAAAAATTATGGAAATTTACCCAGAGTTATCCATGGATAAATTGATGTTATTTAGGATAAAATTATTTACCAGACAACTAAACTTTCTAAATTGTTTACAACACTTTTAAAAAAGATTTCCATAAACTTATTTGTGGTTTATTCATGGATAAATTTAAGTTTTTATGGATAAAATTGTTTTTCAAAAAACTTGCAACAAAGATTTTCAAAGATACACTCGCAATTTATTCGTGGATAAAGTTATGTTTTCATGGTAAACTTTGTTTCTTAGATTATTAAATTTTCTAAATTGTTTATTGGATAATTTATGGATAAATTTATATTTTTGGATAATAGTATACAATAAAATATATTAAAAAGGAATTTTAAAAATTACTCACGTTTTAACTGTATGTTCATCAATTTTAAAAAAAACAAATTGTTATGATAAATAAGAAATAAAATTATCATAATATTTAAAGCGTAAGTAATATTTTGATAACTCAATTTTAACTAAGATTAAGTCACGAATAATAATTTTTAAAATTCTTATTTCAATAATATAGTATTTTATCTACGGAGACAAATATTTATCTACGAACAAGACGTAGATGAATTTTGAATTTTTTTTACAAATTTTCTGATATATAACTTTAAACATAAACATTTAAATTTATCTACAAATAAGTCAGAGATAAATTTATGAAAAACCTTTTTTAAAATAATTCAAAAATTTTGCTTAGGGTGAACAAATTCTAAATTTAAGAAGAATAAATTTAACATTTATTTATATTTTGTAAAGATAAAAAATAATTATAGAAATATTGAAAATTTTTTTCAAATAGAGTGAAATCGGTTAATTTTATTCTGTGATGGATTTGGATCCTCTACTTTTTTATATATCATGTCATCTCTTATGTTTATAATCTAACGGTTCAGAATTTATAATGAATAATTAAATAAAAAAACAAAAACAAATTACTTATCAATTTCTCTCTCCTATTAAATGACTTTTTTTATTTAATTATTTATTATAAATTTTGAACCGTTAGATTAGAAACATGAGATATGACATAATATATATAAAAAAAGAGGATCCAAATCCATAAATGATGTAGTTCTCACAAGATAACAAGAGGTCAAATATATAATTTCTGAAACCTACATCTAACCAGAAGAATATTTAAGTTTTTCAAAATATTAAATATTTTAAATTCTTCTAATTTAATTTGGAAGCAATTTCCTTTTCCTTCGAACATTTCAATTCAAACTCTATTTTTACATTCATTTACTTAACCACCAAATTACTTTCCAAATCATTCACAATTTAATGATTTTCTTTAAACGCTTTTACAATTCAATCTTTTAACTTTGATGTCATTTTATGTTTACAATTTTAAAATTTAGTCCTATTTTACATTCAAATCACTTAACTTCAAATCAATTAACTTTAAAACTTTTTAAATCATCTAGAGAAATTTTTAAAGAAAGTCTTGTATTGATTAAACAATTATGTTTTGGATTCGATTGTTACTACTTAAATAACAAATCCATTTATAGTTTGCCATAAATATTGAATTACATGTGAATTGTTTTTATAGGGTGCTACATGTATTGATTAAATTTAGAAAACATAAGTGTCAATTATTATAAGAGAAAATGGAAAATATATTTGTAGTGTAAATTATTTTTATACTGTTAATCAATAATAATTATAAATTCTGTCACATCACATTGATAATTTTAAAAAAATTTAATATCATGGCGGATTATTAATTTTTTATTAGATGACAGTGTAAAATTATTTAACAGTATTTTATATTGTCAGTACATATCAGTTAAATTCTAACAAAAGTTAGTTCTGCTTCTTAATCCGTTGATATAAACTCATTACGTAATCAATTTTTGTTATCAATCAAGAAACCCTAAATCTCATAAGATACATAGAAAATTAAGACTAATGCCCACAACATTTAGTTCAATGTTACATTACATGATAGAACTAATGGTGGTCCATCTACCATGTTGACACTTTAAGCCTAACCTTGTAACTAAGAATCTAATTAATCTATCTAGTTTATAGAATTATGCTAACAAAAAAAACATAATAGACAATAAAAAAATGGATAAAGAGAAATTGACAAGAGTCTTTTAAAAAGGTGAATCATCATTCTTGTTAAAAATGGTGGGAAGCTACTAGTCATACTTAATAAATTTATATCTAATTCTAAGTAGATGAAGAATAAAATATAAATATGACAAAACGTTCACATAAATATAAAACTGCATTATTATTGAATTTTACATGTTGAGTTATAGTTCATTGGAGATTAACAAGGAGTGAAAAAAAAATGTTACACCTTTATAAACTTAAAAGGTAATGAAAATTTAAATTTGAATATCAACAAAATTACGAACAATTTCTTAAATCTCTTAAATGTATTGAGTTAATTCAAGAGTAAATACGAAAGAATGTTTTTTATTTTAGAAGTTTTTTTTATGAATAACACATTTTTGTGAAAGACACATCACATGCTCCCCCAAAATTTTAAGATGATGGGTGCATGAGTTCTCTCATTTATAAATGTTAAAGTCTTCATATTTCTGACCAATGTGGGACTTTCTCCACATTACTCACGTTTGTTATTCTCAACACTCTTCCTCAAGTGTGAGTTTGTCCACAATTCTCCTCCTCAAGCAGAAACTCTTTTACACTTGTATCGTCGTTAACACTTTTCAACGAGCCACCTCCTACCCAATAGATAATTTTGATACAAGTGAGTCGGTCCCTTCACTTGAACCAAAGACTCGTGATACCATTGTTGTGGTCAATTAGGGGGGTCAACACGAGAGAACATTTTTTACTTTGGGGATTTTCTTTATGAACAACACACATTTGTGAAAGACACAACACATACTCACCCAAAACCTTAAGGAGATAGGTGTGTGAGTTATTTCACTTATAAATGACCAAGTCTTCACATTTCTAACCAATGTGGAACTTCCATACACTACTCACATTTGTTATTCGCAACAAAATATATGTAATTTTCAACATACTGACTTATTAGAGTTTGACTTAACTCATCATTATAAAATCGGTTTGTAAGGCGATGAGTGTCACTCTATATAAACTCTTCAAATACTCTATCTCTAACTAATGTGAGACTTGAGATTTTTTTAATACACTCTGTCACGTCCAATACTCTTTTTGAGTTTGGTGCGTGGATTTAAACATTAAGCGGCCTAAGGTTCGGTCGATAGACTCTGATACAATATTAGAGTTTGACCTAATGCATCATTACAAAACTGATTTGTAAGGTGATGGGTGTCATTGTATATAAACTCTTTCAATGCTCATCTCTAACCAATGTGTGACTTAGAATTTTCCAAATATAACTTGCAGATTAAACTTTACAAGCATCAATGAAACATCTTTTGATAATTGGGACAAACCATACTTATTTTTAAAAAATTAGCACAAATAATTAAACATGTTAGTTTTTTTAATACATTCATGCACATGACAGGGACAACAATTGTCCTTTTTATCGCAAACTTTCATTCGTATCAAAATTTGTCAACTCAATAACATAAATCATTACTTAGAATTTCCTTAAGTCTCAATTGTTCATTAAGGTGTCACGACTTTCTTTAACTACTCATAACAATTAAGTCTATTGCAGTGGAATAGATTTAACTTGTCGTTAAA